CTGCTTCGGATTCTGCGTCTCCCTCTCTCTCTCTGCTCCTCCCCTGCTCACACGTTGTCGCTCTCTCAAAAATAAATAAAGTTTTTAAAAAATTGTTTTTTAAAATCTTTATTTATTTTATTTTATTTTTTTTTCAACATTTTTATTTATTTTTTTGGGACAGAGAGAGACAGAGCATGAACGGGGGAGGGGCGGAGAGAGAGGGAGACACAGAACTGGAAACAGGCTCCAGGCTCTGAGCCATCAGCCCAGAGCCCGACGCGGGGCTCGAACTCACGGACCGCGAGATCATGACCTGGCTGAAGTCGGACGCTTAACCGACTGCGCCACCCAGGCGCCCCAATCTTTATTTATTTTTGAGAGAGGTGGGTGAGTGAGCAAGGGAGGGGCAGGCTCAAACCCAGGAACTGATGAACTCATGAACCCATGAACCATGAGATCATGACCTGAGCAGAAGTTGGATGCTTAAGTGACTAAGCCACCCAGGCGCCCCAACTCAGTTTTAAGGAACATTTTCCTATCCGAACTTGAATCCTCTCTTGACACCATTTAAACTTTCATTCTCTCCCAGTTGTCCTTAGAATTGGATGTTTGAATAAAATACGTACTTTCACATGTAGCTGACTGTGATTTAGGAAGAGTTCATGTTACCCGCATATTTAAGATTTTAAGTAGCAGGAAACAAACAAAATGATCACTTTCCTCAGCAGATCAAAAATAGAGATGAGACATACACATATTCAAATTGTTAAATTATGTATGTTAAATTATGTAGAAGCTTTGTGATGGCAGTATTGTTTGTAATACCAAAAAGACTGCCAAAAACCTAAAGGCCTATCAATAGAGGACTTGTTAAATAAAACATACCAATCCATATGGTAGCATATTTATACAGTTAAAAAGAATGGGGCAGATCTGTATATTTTGGTACAGGAGAGCCTGGAAGGGCAGAATAGAGTAAGTATACTGTGCTATCATCTGGGTTTTTTGTTTTTTTTTTTTAACGTTTATTTATTTATTTATTAAAAAAAATTTTTTTT